AGTGCCCCTATTCAGCAGGAGTAGCTGCAGAAGATGGACATACTACCCTCTGCAGGCCTCTCTGGGGAAAATAGTATAGATACAGCCGAGGCTGTGGGACTGCTCCTCCTCCACTCACCTGAACTTGGGTAATGCCTCGGCATCAACACCCTGATTCAGCATCCTGTCAACCACACTGTCAATCATGCTCTGAAAGATCCAATTTAGTGTCTGGGCCATTTTCTTCCTTTGCTGTGCTTTCTTTATTTGTTTAGTGGAATGATGACTTCTTCATCTGGGCCATTTTCTTCCTTTCTGCTCCTCCCATTCTTCCCTTCTATTCATGCTGTTTTCTTTTCTGCTGCCATGAACCCACTCACTCTGAGCCTAGCTTTGCCCTTTAAACTTTATTAAACTTTCTGCTTTTTCCATAATATTATGTGCAATGTCCAGTGTTTTGTTTATTACACATAAAAACCTGGAAACCTTCCCCTGGTCCCCGACTTACTCCATGGCAACATTTTTGGTGAGCCAACCAGGAGGTAAAAAGAATCGTGGAGATCGTGGAGATTTTGACTCTGATAAACACAGCCAAAAGGGTTTTCACTCTCTCTGTGGCCACTTACTCTGAAGAACAACTCCTTTTCCTGCCTTTAATAAGTGTAAAACCTTGCTACCTTCTGTACCTGTCTTGCCCAATTCTTTGTTCAGGACAAGAACCTAGAAAGAATTGTTGTATCTGATGGGGGGTGTCTCAGAAGAGGGGATAGGGGTCCCCTGTAATGATTCCCCACCTCTCTATGGGTCTTTGCCCTCACTCTAACAAAGAATGAAGTGGGGCTCTTATCGGAAAATGGGGGAGTCAAGACTGATACAGTGCAAAGCAAAAGTTTATTTGAAGTGTAGCAAATGCAGAGGAAGCAGAAGAAAAGCTATCTTAAGAGCAGACTGGTGCTGTGAGATAGGGGGCATCCCTCTCGGACACCTCATGAGTTTGAGGTGTACTTTGTACTTATAGGGGTAAGCTGGTTTCAAAAAATAACGGTTTCGCTGATTGGTGTGGTCTGGGCCAATCAGGGTCTTAGCCTTTGTTTCTGGGAAGGGGAAAAGGTCAGTTGGGGATTTCTTAAGCATGCAGCAAATGTGAGTAGCATTTTCATAAGGATATAGTCGGGTTCATTTTTCAAGTACGTGGTACACGATAAGGACATGATGATTTTACAGTCGTCAGCCACAGATAAGCTTGTGATGATGTTACAGTGTCAGTCATCTGGGTTTTGCCCTGGGTTTTTGTCTATGTCCTTCTAATCTGCCCCTACAAAATCTGCAGAAGGAGCCCAGAGCACCTCAGCACCCTGGTAACACTACTACTACTACTTCTCCCGATTAAGCAAACAAAGCAGGTGTCAGCCCTAATGTTTAAACATCCAGTGTTTGATTTTAAAACAATTACTAACAATGCTTAGTGAAGAAACAAGTAGGGAAAACACTACGGAGCTACCAAAGAGCAATCCTGCTAACATGAGTGGGCTTGTCCTGATGATTTCAAAGTCATAATACTGTTTGGCTGAGTGATGCCAACGTTAAGAAAAGGTACTTGCATTGAAAATTCAACTGTTTTAAAAGATTTTACCTAAAAATGCCATACTGAGATTTCGGGGGGGGGGGGTTCCCCAAAGAAATATATGTATTTTCCCAACTTCGGTGTCCTGCAGTCTTTGGACCTGAAAGTCAGGTCACATGACTCATTCTGCAAGGTTTCAATTGATCCAATTTTATGACTAGACATGAGGTTGACTTTACTTCCTTTCAACACAGGGAGATGAAAGAGAAACAACCACCCTATTGTTTTCGTCTTCAATGCTACACCACAGCTGTCAGTACTTCTCACCAGGTGCTTTGCATGGCCTTACTGTGTTCACTGTTCCCTCAGCCAGCCCTGAGCTGACAATTCTTCATTCCTGTGTTTCAGTGAAACTGTCCAGTAAATCCTAGAGGGAGGGAACCAATATTGCTACCATTATGTATAAATATCACATCACTGATTCTAGTTCAATCTGCGTGTTTAAATCCATCAGCTAAAAACATTGCACATTGTAAGCACAGTGATATTTACGTTATCTATTCTGAAATATTTTCATGCCATGATCACATTTGCTCTACCTGAATTTGAATTTATGCACATTAAAAAATTACTACCAAAGGTTGCTCACATTACAGCTAAAGAAGGGGTTAGGGCCACATTTTATTGTCTGAGAGACATCTTCAAAGTAAAGTTAAAGCTTATGTTTGATTAGGGTAACATATCCTTTTTTGTGTCCATATTTAAAATGAAGAGCAGCAAAGCCAATAGCTAGGGCTCCTTCTAATATAAAACATTTCTTTTTAAAAACTCAAACCGGGTTTAGTGGTCCACTGCGGTATTCCTAGCACTATGGGAGGCTGAGGCAGGATGATTGCAAATTGGAGTCCAGCTTGGGCAACTTAGTGAGACCCTGTCTCAAGATTTAAAATGAAGGACTGGGGATGTAGCGCAGAGTGAAAGCCTTGGGTTCAACCTGCAGGGGCTGAGACGAGAAGGATGCATTTAAGATTCTTAGGGCAACTGTCTGTTGTGAAGAATTTTTTTTAAAACTGCTACAAAATTAACTTAATGGAAAGGGGGCTTCAAATTGCCAGTTATGACTTACACTGTTGGTCCTCTTGGGCTGCAGCTGCTTGTTCCAGGCCTCTTTGTAGCTGATATAGAGGATGAAGCTCAGGGCCTGAAATCCTGGCACCTGGGAGGCTGAACCACGGCATCTCAAGTTTGAGCCCAGTCTGGGCAATTTAGGGAGACCCTATCTCTAAATTTTAAAAGAGCCGGGGATGTAGCTCAGGGTCAAGGGCTGGGTTCAGCCCCAGTACCACAAAATAATAATAATAAATTCAGCACATATGTGGTGATGCAGCTGGTTTTTGTTTTTTAAACCTTTATTCTACACTTTCAATAAATGCTTCAGCCAGGCACAGTGGCGCATGCCTGTGATCCTAGCTCTTGGGATGCTGAGGCCAGAGGGCAGCAAATTCAACCCCAGCCTTAGGGATGTAAAGAAAACCTGTCTCAAAATTTTTAAAGGAGGGAGGGGAGGGGCAGGATGTAGCTTAGTGCAAAGTGGGTTTAATCCTAGCACTGGGGGAAAACACTTTAAAGGAAACAGGAAAGATCACATTTGGCGCTCCTAGACTACTTGCAACATAAACACATCTTTCTTTCATCCTCATGGAAGTCATTTTCAAATGTTTCTGCCCTGGATTTATACATTCTCATACATTTTGCATTGTGAAATGTGCCAGCATTCACCCATACAGTGGTCATATTACTTCAGAAACCGGGTGGATGCAGAGAAAATCACAAACTAGCTTTGGAAAACAAGGCTAGTTCTAAATCTGAGTCCAGAATTAAATGTAAGAGTGAATGTGGAAATAAGTAGAATTAAACATGTTTAATTTCTCTCGCTGTTACCCTCACCTTCTCTTCTTCATTAATGCTAATACTAAGAGGAAACTATGCAGGCCCTCTATGGAATAAGGGCTGGAGCTTCATTTTTATCCTTGCTTGATTTTTTAAACTTTTTAATTTTAATATAATGCAAGTAGATATTAAAAGGAAATATGAAAGCCACTCTATGAAAAAATAATTTTTCATATCCAAAATTATTAGAGGGCCGGGGATTTAGCTCAGTGGTTCAGCTGCCTGCCTCAAAAAGTTATTAGAGAATAACAATGGTAAACACACTGTGTATCATGAAATAAATTGAACATGTGTGTGTAACTATCTCATTGTCTCTCGGGTGTGAGAAACTGAAAGTGAAAATAAGGACCAAAAAGAATAATAAATCCTGTGAAATAGGAAGAAATTATTCAAAATTATATCGAATGTGAGATACTTTGTGCATACTTGAAATGTTTTATGAAAAAAAAGTATAGTATTATTAGGAAATGGCTGAGAGATTAGCTTGATTTCATAGTCAGTCTCCTTGGGCTGCCTGCATTCCCACGTGTGATTTCCCCACAGACAGAACCTTATTTTGACACTCAGAAAAACAAAGAACAAGATAGGCATGTAGTACACCTCATACATCCCAGCACTCGGGGAGGCTGAACCAGGAGGATCACTAGTTGGAGCCCACCTTGGGCAATTAGGTGACCTAGGGAGACCCTGCCTCAAACTAAACTATAAAAAAAATGGCTGAGGATGTCACTCAGTGGGAAGACCTTGAGTTCAAACCCCAGCTCCACCAAAAGGAAAGAAAAAAATGTCTATGTTAAGCACAACTTCTAGCTAGACTGTCCTCAGCCCACTGGGAGACACTTGCCAGTAATATCTCTTTTGATTTCCACTCAACAGAGAGATGTGAGGCACAGGATGGAATAAGTATGTTACAATTTGTCTATGTTTATTTGTACAAAAAACCAAAAAGTCTGGTAAGTGAGTAATCTCATAATACTTTTTTCTAGGGCTGCTCTAACATCATACCACAAACTGGGAGACTTGAATGCCAGAAATCTATTCCCTCAGGGTTCTGTGTGCTATAAATTCAAAGTCAAAGTGTCAGCAGGGCTGGTTCCTTCTGAGAGCTGTGGGGACGACTATTCCATGTCTCCCTTCCCCAGCTTCTGGTGGCCCTGGCTGCTCCCTCGGTCCTAGCTACACAGAAACATAACAAAATGGCACATATGCATCAAAATGCTGGCAGAGATTAAAGAAGTTTACAAGGTAAATTCTACTTGAATTGAGAAAAGGCTGTGGATACTGGCAATCTAGTTACTGATTTCAAGGCTACCTTTTGCTTTCAAACATCGATGGCATTTAAACCCTCCCCAGGTTATTAAAATCTGAGCTCTCTGTGAAGCCCCAGACAATAGATCAGTTGGAGTGTAGATAGGACCTTGTGTGTCCCAACCTATTTTTCTCTTTCCTGGATGGAGAACCATTGATTCCAGAAGCAAAACAAGAGCTGACACATTGATGCTGATGATTTTATTGAAGTTTTGAAGTTAGAGAAAGGAAAGGTAAAGAAGTATACACTGTTGAAAAGTCCTCAGTCACCCATTGATCTCCATCAATTTCTGAAACAAAGAGAAGGATTTTAGAGGACAATAATAAATTAGCCTGGACATAACCTATGCCAGATATCTTATCATTAGTAGTTTCATTTCAGGAGATCACAGTAAGAAAGAGAAGAGAAAGAAGGAAGGGGAAGAGGAGGACAAACAGAAGGAAGAGGCTAAGAGGAGAATGGATTAGGGAAGGAGGAGAAGAAGGAGAGAAGAGAGGGAGAGCTTGGGCAGGCTGCAGAATGAAAGAGTCAGGAAATCTGACAGGGTGGAAGGAACACTTGGTCTTGGGAAAATGGAGATTTTTCTATGTATAGGAATGGGGGGGTGAATCACGGCAAGGACAGATCTGGGAAAGAGTTCAAGAGAGATTAAAGCAAAAATTTATAAATGAGATAAACGAATGGAAATAAGAAGAGAGAATGGGGAGTTTAAAGAGAAATTCACTGCATTGTTGAATAAAAGCATGCAGTACCTGGGGCATCGCCAGGGGCATCTCCAAGGGGTTTTCCTTGTCATTGGTCAGAAGAAAAGCTCTGGCTCTGACCTCTCTGGCCACCTCTCCCTTTCTGGCCTTTCTGGCCTTTCTGACCACCTTTACCGCCTCGACCACCCTGTCGACCTTGGCCTCTCTGCTGCTTTCCTCGAGAATTCTCCCGGTCCTCCTGGGCAGTTTGGCCAACGTGACCTTGCTTCCCACTTTCCCCCTTCTTGTTAAGCCGACCTTTGGGTTGCTTTTGAGGCAGGACTTGTGGTTCTTCCAGCGCTTCTCTATCTGGTCCACCATCTGTTTAAGAGTGAGAACACAGATCCAGAGAGTAAGAAGAGAAAGAATAGCCATACGCTTAATGAAGGCAAGTACAGAAACTACCTACCATGACCTAAACTGGGCAAGAAGTGGCATTTTACTGGTTTAAATGGTTTTAGGTAGTGACCAAGACACAGTGTCCAGAAGAGAAAATGAAGAGAGAATGTGTTCAGTTCCTTTGTTTGGTCCTTCCCAGTTTACCCTGCCCTCTCTTTCGATACATCTGTCACTATTCTGTTTTGCCATCTATTCTGAACTCATTGTGATATACATGAAATTTCCCATAAACCAGATTCTCACGGTGTCTGAGAGAAAGCACCAGATAAAGTCACTTTGTCTGCCTATAGATAGACACAATATCTTCACAGAAGTCCAATGATCAAGGGGAAGGTTACTAGCTACCTTAACCTTCCCTATAACAGAGAAATTAAACAATATCCTACTGTCTTCTATCACCTACAAATGGTTAGGTTCACATTTCTATTAAAAAATATAAATCACCCATACATGGTGGCCCACATCTGTAATCCCAGCACTCTAGAGGCTGAGGCAGAAGGAGCCCAGGCTGAGCAACTCAGTAATGCAGCAAGATGTTGTCTCAAAATAAAAAATGAAAAGTAAAAAACAGCTGGGATATAGCTCAATGAGAAGGCCTTGGGTTCAATTCTCAGTATTACATTGACAAAAAAATATATAAATAAAATGCACCCATATTGTCTTCTTTTGCAATGTCTGACTCATGTAATTAAATTGACTATCGTGTCTTTATGCTCTTCTGGCCATCACTGTTGCTTACAATCATTCTTTGGCAGATTGAAAATATATTCCATTCCATCCCCTCAGCATGTCAGACACTGACATTCAAAGCTTGAGAGATATCTGCACCCTCAAGCCACTGGCTTTCATTGTTGTCAGATCAACAATGAAATTGTTAAAAAAAAAAAAATGTTACGTTTCTCCCTATTTGGAAATGTCTTTGTTGCCTGTAGAATAAATAGAAAATCAACTTGCCATTCAGACATCTTTTTCTACCTGCAAATAACACACATCTTCAACTTTATCCTCTAACTTTGCCGAAATAGTGTTCCAAGACTACCGAAGACACAGAGAGATCAGCACAGACTTAGCCAAGGAATGGATTCTGCTTCCTGCCGCTGCTCCACTCCCCAGGTCTCTGAGGCCTCCCTCCCCACCCATGGTCTGTGCTTCCCCAATGCCCGTTCCTGCCCTTTTCTGACAGTGACTGTGGCTATGTCCAGGTAACATCTTCCCTGAGATTCTGAGTCCCGTGGTAAGGACAGTGGCCCTGTTTCCTGTACCCATGCCTCATCCTCGGGGGTGTCAGAATGATATTAGGTTTTATTGGATTAGTAGCAAGAGAAAGAATGCATATATTCAAAGTGCTTCTTTCAGTAATCCTTAGCTAGGCATGCTGTCACAGTAGCAGCTGAGGTCAAGTACCTTAAGCAAGAGAAAAACAGCTGGGGGTGTGATGGTGCACACCTGTGATTCCAGTACTCAGGAGGCTGAGGCAGGGGGATCGCCATGAGTTTGAGTTCAGCCTGGGCTACACAGTGAATTCAAGGCCAGCCAGCAGGCCAAGGATTTAGCTCAGAATGTTCCACTGCCTGCCTCACGTGCACAAGGTCCTGAGTTCGATCCCCGGTACCAAAAAAAAAAAAATTATAAAGGAGTTCAAGGCCAGCCTGAACTACACAGCAAGGCTTTGTCTCAACCACCTCACCCCCCCACAAAAAAAAAAGAAAAAGAAAAAGAAAAAGAAAAAATCAAAAGGAAAGTAGAAAACTGGTGCTGACCTTCAGAAAGCCCTTAAATCCAAAGCAAATCTCCCTCCTGCTTTCTCTTTCTCTATCTCTCTCTCTCTCTCTCTCACACACACACACTTTCCCTTAGTCTTTTGTATCCCTTTACAATGTGGAACACAAAACTATAAAAACTATACAATAGAATAGTTGAGAAAGGAAGTTTTAACATGTAAACAATTTTCTGGTTTAAAAAAAAATGGTAGAAATTTTAGGAGCTGGGTGTGGAGGCACACACTTGTAATCCCAGCACTTGGGAGGCTGAGGCAGGAGGATCATGAATTTGAAGCCAACCTGGGCTACCTCATGTGTTCAAGGACAGGCTGGACTACAGTGAGACCCTGACTCAACAAACAAACAAAAATCAGGAATTTTAGATTAGACCAATAGCAATAAGGTTCCTAGATTCCATTTAGAAAAATTCTCGATAATTCAGTTGAACTCACATGATAGCTGAGACTCTTCCAATTGAGGAGATCCTACAGAGAAAGAACAAACACCAGAATCAATTGTGAACTGAATATCAGAGTCACTGGCAAGTCAGGAACTAGAAAAATTATTAAGCATAAACTTTTTATTTAAGCAACAAAATTTAAGCAGTTAATTCATTTTTACTCATTTCTGTCATTGCTTTGTGGAATAACATAAACAGTTGATTCTCTCATTGGTCCTTTCTATATCCTCCCTCCTACACAGTCTTTCATGCATGCCATTCAAGGTTTTTATTTGAAATGTGCATGAGTCTACGGCTATACCACCCTGAACGTGCCCGATCTCATCTGAAATGTGCATGACTAAAACTGGCTTTCAAGTTCACATACTGTGAAAAAGTTAGCACTAAAGTAGACATCTGAGTTTTTAAACTAAAGAATGAAACATTAACACTGTGAATTTAGAATAGAAGAAGAAATAAAGTACATTGGTAAATTTAATGATTGAATATAATATTTTAGGTAAGTTACAGAACATTTCTGCTTCAAATTAGCTATATGTCAATGGTGACAAAAATCCTCACAAACATAAGGGATGTGTATTTTTCAATTACTGTATTAGCCACTGTCTGTAGGAAGAGTTCAAGAAAAGCAAAAGAATGGGGGACCCGTGTTCTGCTGATGTCCAACTCTACTTAGATCTCACACACAAGGGATTTCAGAGTGAAAAGGAAGACAGTTCATATTCAACATTACTGCTGATGTAAAACCTACGTAAAACCTATGGGTTTTGTCATTCACTTGCCCTTTGGAATCCCTTAAACCCAATTTTGAGAACTTTTAAATGAAAGAAAGAAACATATTCTTATATAAGTATTTACCTAGCACTTGAAGCGCTTCTTCAGAAGGAGCACCTAGGATTTTAGAAGAAAAACAAGACACACCTAAAACATGATTTATTAGACCTCAGCTATGCATTTGTAGATACATGAGGTAAGAAAATGCCTAAGAGAATGCTAGAGGAAAATATATGAAAGGGTTGGGTTGAATAAATCAGTATTTCCAAAGTAGAACTCTAATCCCAAACATTGATTTTGGATGAGAGGTGAATAGGAAGATAAATATTTTTCTAATTTCTAATTTTTCTAATTTGCTTCATACAATGAAATAGAGAGCCACAATGGTTGTGGACAAACTAAAGATGCTGTGATACATTGAACGTACTAAATTAGACAAGGGCAACCATCTATATCCATATAGCTCACATTTCTACCCAAAAAAACTCTTCAGCTATTCCAAAATGACTATTGTTTATTTCTTGAACTTGTCTAAAAACACATTTCAACAAACATGCTCCTGTCAGGCTCTCTAAACCCATTTATTGTCCATTCTCCAAAACCTTCCTCAGAGGCTCAGAACCCGTGTCTCGTTATCACCTAAAGCATGAATTTTACCCATTCCTAACAAAGTCCTTGTTAAATCTGACCCCAAAACTTCATTCTTAAATATCCCAACTTTTCTTCCTGCTCTGACCTCCAACCTGAGGCACTGAAGCAAAATATCAGATTCAACTCCCCGTGGCTCATCAATAGATCGTTCTAGTGGCTAGAATGTGATACTAAAAGAATTTTATCATAAGGGTCTCCTTTTTATGTAAGTCTGACCAAGACTTACACTCCTTTTAGGAAATCTTCCATTTGGGAATCTACTTTCCCATGAGCAAGAAATGTATTGTATTATATGACAACAGGTTTAAAACTCAATCTATTATAATTTCATGTATTGTTCAATATTGTTAGCAGTAAACAAGTTAATATTTAATGCTCCTGTTTTCTTAACTTAGGTTGTTTCTATATGATGCCAGAATATTTTATAAGAAAATAAAGTTTTCTGAGTGTCATGGCACATGTCTGTAATTCTAGCACTCTGAGAGGCTGAAGTAGGAGAATCACAAATTCAGGTCCAGCCTGGGTAACTTAGCAGCTTACTGAGACCCTGTTTCTAACTAAAAAATAAAAAAAAAAAAAGGCTGGGACTATAGCTCAGTGTGAAAGGCCTGGGTTTGATAGTACTGGGGCCAGGCGGGAGAGTAAAATTTCATTTCATTTTAATTTCTCATTGTTTATCTTATAAGATATTTAATATTTAGATTTTACAGTCATTTAAATAATGATCTGGATTTTTACTCTGCATCTGTATATTTGGTATCATTAAAATATGCCATACATCTTCCATATTTAAAGGACCCACAGATTGAGAATTTGCCTTCTATGTTTATTATATTCCTTCATTATACCTGAAAGTATCCATTTCTAGGAATCCATAGGTTTACTACAAATGCTTACCGACAATCAGTTGCATGACCGGACTTGTAAGTATTTTAAAGAGCTAAGTAACAAAATGGAAAGACTTAAATAGCACCTGCCTATCATGAATTATTTCATAAAATAAGTTTAAATTTAATCAAAACTCAGCATTTCTAAATGTTCAAGTGTTTGATGTCAATGAAATAAGATATTTAGATGAATTACCGAAGTTTCACTCAATTTAGGGACCTCGCTGTATCCAGAGCGAATTTCT